ACCACATACTGACCTAAAGAGCAACCAGTACAGAGGGAGAAACAGCAGGAAGTGCAGCTTAACCACATATTTGTAGCCACTCTTCTTGCAGTTTAAACCAAAGATGAACAGAGAGTTGGCACTAGGACGTAGCAGGATTATTTTCTGTATTTGACTTTTGGTTATATGCACATGTGACCTGTTGGGGACTGCAGATGTGCAGCATCTGCACCTTATATTTTTCTCTAACATCCATAAACATGCACACTCTGGTAAAACTAATTAAAGTAAATACTTCTTTGTAAGATGTTTAATAACGAATGTTAAAATGGAAAAGTGCCATGTGTGCAGCTAAAAATAAGCCCCAGAGCTAACACCAAGGCTGCTGTCTGGGAACCGGCGGGGCGGTCACCGCTGGAACGTGCTTATCATCAGAGTGGAAAGCTGTGGACTTTAAAGTGTTGAACTTTGATGTATAACCAGTCGTGTCTCAGATCAAACGTGCAAAATAAAATCTTTTCCATAAGTGTTGACATGAGAGGAATGCTCATTATCCCCTTTGGCAACATTTTGAACAGCACCAGCTGGTCAAGCAAGGCTATGTGACACACTGAGCTGGTGATACTGGTTTTGGGCGGCAGTGATACGGACACTACTGGACTGAAACTGGTTTGAGAGTCTGCTAAAACGACAGCATGTAAGGACACAATGATTGTGTTTTAGTAAGTTTAGTAGTCTTACTGTATACTTACAAACATACACAGACCAAAATACTGCGTTTACCTTTTTACTAAATGTACTTAAGAATTACTGAGACCGTTTATAAACCTGTGTTTAAATTTCAAGAAAAGAATGATGCATTTGCATTTCTGTAATAATAGTTGTAATCGAGGAGGAAATACGAACATGAATGCACCTGCATCGTTTTTTGCATTCATGATGTCGTTTTATTTAAATCAGTTTGGGTTAAATGCCCCAGACAACAAATCTTTAATTTTTTAAGAGTCACGATTTCAGAAAGGATGGCGCCACATCGTGTAATCATTACAGCATATGTACAAATCTAAATGCATTTCATGTCCTATTATAGTTTTATTCACTTCAGATTAGCATTAAAGTTGTTGTCTTTGCCCTTTATGAGCCATGACACTTCATGGGAGACTGTTCTGCTGGTGATAAATGAAACGAGCCGATCGTTTAAAAGGATTTTATTTTGAAATCTATTTAACACCCATGTTGATCTAATATTGATTGTAATAAGCTTGTAATAACATTGCAATAAGCTTGTAATAACATTGCAATAAGCTTGTAATAACATTGCAATAAGCTTGTAATAACATTGCAATAAGCTTGTAATAACATTGTAATAAGCTTGTAATAACATTGTAATAACATTTTTAGTTTGTATAAACCCAACAGAAACCATGTTGTCCCAAAACGCTGTGTTTGTGTCCCATATGTAACACCGTGTATTACCCAACTTATTTCACATGGTTTAACTTGAACTTTAAGAACTACAATAACGTTTTGCTGTATTACCAGTAACAAATCTTTTATATACACATTAGCTTGTTAAAATAAAAAAAAAAAAAAAACTGACTGAATTACCTCTAAACTGGTTCTAGGCTTTGTCACACTGGTCGCACTGGTGCGTGTCCATGGTCAGTAAGTGTAGAGTTGACTTAAGCTCGAGTTTGTGTAAACTGAACTGCTGCACTGATCACCTATCAGCGTCTGTTGGTGTGTTTCTGCCGTCGCTGGCTGGAGGTTTTTCCGGAAAGGTCACAGGAATCACATGCTGCGTCAGCTTGTGTTTCGCCAACTTCGCCTTCAAAGCAAAAGCCCTCCC